CCCGTGGCTGGCTCACACTGGCCGTGAGGGTGGCAGGGGCAGTTCTCACGGCAGTCGGGGCCCCAGTACTGGCCCGGGCAGCCTGCAGGGGTGGGTACGGGAGGGGTCAGCAGGCTCAGGGCCGCGCGCGGACCCTTACCCTGCGTCCCCTTACGCAAGGAAAAGGGGCACGGGACCCATCCTCCAAGAGCTGGGGACAGACCCTCGGAACATCCGGCAGCCTGTCCTGGGCAACACTCACTTCCTGCTCCGCTCTGACCTACAGAAAACCCTTAGCCATTAGTGGGAGGCCCAGCCTCCCATTTCACATTCAGAACACACTCAGAGATCCTGAGTGGGCAGTGGACTTGCCCAGAGTGCGGCACCGAGGTGGGTGGGCCTTCCTCCATGCCTGCTCCTCCCTGCTGAGGTGGATCCCTGCTGGGCTTCCTCCCGATCTCAGGCCTGGATGCTGCCCGCCAGGGTGGCAGGATAAGCCACCTTCCCCTAGTGATTCCTTGATTCCTGGTGCCCATCCTCTGGCTTCCCAACCCCTTTCCCTTCCCTCTCTTTCTGCCAGAAAGGGCAGACAGCCAAGCGGGGGGCCTCCTTCCATCCACTGCCCATGTATAAGGCGTATGTGGGAAAGAGAAGGAATATACTCATTTTGCAATGAACGGGAATCACAGGTTTTCTGAGAAGTGCAAGAGGAAGATGCGCAGGTGGGCAGGGCTTTGTGGATACGGGTGAAAACCCAGTGACTCAGGCCATCTCCTAGGAGTGTGTGTCACTTCCTGTCTCTGGACCGCGATTCCTCAGTGAAGCTGGGAGGGATCCTGGCCCTGCTGTCCTGAGGCTACATGGCTACCTGCCTTGCCCGCCCCCACACCACTGTCCCCGTACCCAGCTCTGCCCAGCAACTTCATCCAGCCCTTGAGACTCACGGGAGCTGCAGTAGGCCCCAAAGAATCCAGGTTTGCATCGACAGAGGCCTGGCTTCACACACACCTCATCTTTCTGGCAGGCATCCGGCCCCTCACAGATGGCTGAAAGACACCCCACCCAGGTTGGAAGGACAGGAGCAGGACCAGGGGACACCCCTGCCCTCTCACTGGCTCCTGGGGCCATGCCTCCTCAAGAGGTGCCCCTTCAGGCCTGGGGGGTGTCACAGGAGAAACCCTGGCTCCTGGTGTCAGGAAGGGCAGGCCCGGGAGGGTAGGAAGGAAGGGTTATCGCTGGGCTACGGCTTCCCTTCTCCTTGGCTGAGGGTCTGTCCGGCTACTCACGGATGGTGCATTCTTGATCCTTCTGCCTCCAGCCTGCGCAGCACTGCAGCTCAGCAGAGGGGCTGTGAGGCAAAAAGGGGTCAGCTAGACAAGGCGGGGGTGTAGCCTAGCCCCGAGCAAGGTGGATCACTGTCTCTGGCTGAGGTGGGGGAGGCTGGTTTAGCCTTAGCTAGGGAGGCCTAGCAGATCTTTATGGCTCGGGTCCCCAGCCCCTCCCCTCTCCTTCCCTGGCCCTTCCACCATCTGCCCTGGCTAGCCACTACCTGCCAGGCCGCCATCAGCAGCCCTTCCTTCCAGCCCAAGCCCCCTTCCTAGTCTCCTCCTTCCCCTAAAGGCCTCAACACCGGTTCAACCAGCCGCCATCAGACTCCCACGAGACCCACCTGCTGGCCACACAGACGTGCTGCCCATTGGGGTCCAGCTCAGACCCCTGAGTCCCCCGAGTCCAGAGCAGTAGCAGCGGGAGCAGCAGTCCCAGCTCCATGGCAGCCGGCGCGGTGGGAGGGCTCGGGTTCATCTGGCCCCCAGAGCTCCCAACCCCCTCCTTGCTTCCTCTCAGGGCTTTTCCTGAGGAAACCAGGCCGGAGGGGCGGGCTGCCATGAGGCACCTCCCTGAGAGGGAGGGGGTGGCTGGAAAGACTGACACTCAAAAAAAGAAAGGAAAAAGAAGGCAATGGCAGGGCTGAGTGGCCTCGGCCTGGAAGGGCCAGAAGGATGAAGTTGCAGGTCTCTGGGTGCCGGGGCCAGGGAAGCGGGTGGAGTGAGGGTGGGAGTCAGGGCTTTCCATCAAGCCACACTCCCAAAGCAAGGCCCGAGCTTCAAGAAGCCACCCCCGCTCTAAGTGACTGAGCAAGGAGACCCACGAGGACCCCTCAGCCTGCCTCTGCTCCTGGCAGGGTTGGGAGGCGGGACAGACATGGACAGACAGGCGAGGAACAGTTTCTGCATATTACGGGCAGTTCTTTATTACATGAGCTCAGGCTGTCTGCACAAAGCCCTGGGAGCTAGGCAGCCAGCTCTCATTTCATGGATGGGGAAACTGAGACTCAGAGAGGCACTCTTATATCTGGCCCCAGAGGCTTGGTACAGAGACGTAGAGAGGGAGGTGGGCTGAGCCCCCATCCTGCCCTGGTACAGGCCAGGACTGGGGCAGACCCCTGGCGAGGGCTGCGAAGGCGGGAGCCCTGTCCTCATTTGAGGCCACACATCCATCCACAGCTAGACCCCTAAGTCAGGCCTCCGGGGCGGCTGAGGCCCCCAGACAAAGCTGTTCGTGGAGGGCAGAACAGGGCGGATCAGGAGCTGGAGACTGTGGTTGGGCCTCCTCTTCTCCCCCTAGCTGGCTGGGTGCAGGGCTGTCAGTCTCATCCTCAGGGGATTCGGCTTTACCCCGATACCAGAGGCCAAAGCTGGAGAGAGACAGCCGGAAGTACTTTCAGCCAGGAAGCCAGAGAGGTCAAGGATATGGATGAGGGCAGGGGGTGGTGAGAAAAGGGGAGAGGGGGAAGAAAGGGCAGCCTGAGGGAGTGGGAAGGTGATGGGGGCCTGGGCCAGAGAAGCAGGAGGGGAGGATGTGCTTAGAGCCAAGGACAGCAGGGTGACAGGCAGAGAAGCAGGAAAGGGGATCCTGAGAAGAACCATCCAGGGCCCTTCCTCCCTCCCCATATTCTTGTCCTTCCCCTTCCCCCAACATACAAACTCTGTATTTTGGACTCCGGGGGTGGGGGATGGTCTCCCTTATCATCGGAGAGCAGGAGCCATGAGCCATCCTCATCGTCACTGAGACAGAGGAGAGAGGAGACGTGAGGGTCATTGATCAAGGCCCTGAGGGACAACAGGAATCCAGCAGGGGGGACGGAGGGACTGCAGGGCCCCCGGGACTGGAGAGAAGGCAACCCTGGGGAGATGCAGCATGTTGGGGCTTTAATTTTTATTTTTTATTTTTAGACAGAGTCTCACTCTGTCACAGGCTGGAGTACAGTGGCGCGATCTCAGCTCCCTGCAACCTCTGCCTCCCAGGTTCAAGTGATTCTCCTGCCTCAGCCTCCTGAGTAGCTGGGATTACAGGCACCTGCCACCACGCCCGGCTAATTTTTGTATTTTTAGTAGAGACAAGGTTTCACCATGTTGTCCAGGCTGGTCTCGAATTCCTGACCTCAGGTGATCTGCCTACCTCAGCCTCTCAAAGTGCTGGGATTACAGGCATGAGCCACCACGCCCGGCCGAGGCTTTATTTTATTTTATTTTATTTTATTTTATTTATTTATTTTTTATTTTTTTTTGAGACGGAGTCTCGCTGTGTCTCCCAGGCTGGAGTGCAGTGGCGTGATCTCGGCTCACTGCAAGGTCCGCCTCCCGGGTTCACGCCATTCTCCTGCCTCAGCCTCCCAAGTAGTTGAGACTACAGGCGCCCGTCACCACGCCCGGCTAGTTTTTTGTATTTTTAGTAGAGACGGGGTTTCACCATGTTAGCCAGGATGGTCTCGATCTCCTGACCTCGTGATCCACCCGTCTCGGCCTCCCAAAGTGCTGGGATTACAGGCTTGAGCCACCGCGCCCGGCAGAGGCTTTATTTTATAGCTTGACACACAGCAGGCCCTGACACAGCCGCGGCTACCGTTTCACCCCCGTAAGAACAAACAGACCCTTGGCCAGGCGCGGTGGCTCAAGCCTGTAATCCCAGCACTTTGGGAGGCCGAGACGGGCGGATCACGAGGTCAGGAGATCGAGACCATCCTGGCTAACACGGTGAAACCCCGTCTCTACTAAAAAATACAAAAAAACTAGCCGGGCGTGGTGGCGGGCGCATGTAGTCCCAGCTACTCGGGAGGCTGAGGCAGGAGAATGGCGTGAACCCGGGAGGCGGAACTTGCAGTGAGCTGAGATCCGGCCACTGCACTCCAGCCTGGGTGACAGAGCAAGACTCCGTCTCAAAAAAAAAAGAACAAACAGACCCAGCCAAGGCAGGAACCTGAAGAATGAATGTGGAGAGGTAGCATTGGCAGAATGGACGGCAGGAAAGGTAAGGGGAATGGTGAAATCCAGGGAGAAGGGCCCAGGCCGGACAGTGGCCACGGGACACAACCAGACCAGGTCAGCAGGTCCTAGAAGCGGCCAGGCTAGGGAGGCTCAAGGGGTGACCAGGTTCGGGTGATAGCCTCAGTCTGAGACAACGGACTCAGAGGGTGCCCAGGCTGAGTCATCAGGCTCAGCAGAATGAGGGAGGGAGGCCTGGCTCAGTGGGAATGCAGGCAGGGACCTACCTGCTCTCTGCTTCCTCTGGTGTCCCTAACATCTTGGCCTTGATCTTCTTCCGCTGCTTCCGGACAGCCACCTTCATGGCCTCAAGCAGAAGGCTGGGGACCCGGTGGTCTGTGAGCAGCTCCCTACAGAAGAGGGCAGGAAGGGAGAAAGCTGTGGGGATGGCAGCCATGGGGATGCCAGCCGCAGGCCTCACTCCTGGTACCTGTGCACGCGGCTCCTCCCTGAACACCTGAAGCGCTCTGCCTTGCTGACACCCTCAGATACCCCATGGCCCTCCTAGGAGAGTCTCCCTGGCTGCTGCAGCTGCGACCCTTTGCACTGTCCCTCTCCCCTGTCTGGATGATATTGCAGAGGGCAGGGGCTGTGCAATTCATGTCCTCCCAGTTCCCAGCGCAGGCCTGGCACATGTCACTGTGGACATGTCAATGACTGGAGAATGAGGTGGGGTGATGGGAGGCCCCCCGGCTTCCCAGCGCTCTCACCGCTGGAAGTAGGCCAGCTCCTCCTTGAGCAGGAACACTTTGGCTTTGAGTTCATTCCGCTCCTGAAGGATCTGCTCAAACTCCTCCCGACTGAAGCACTGCCCTGCCTCCGAGGGGCGCCCCAGCTGCTGCGCAGCCTCCGCCTTTGGAAGGACAGGCATGGTCAGAGGGTCGCCTCCGCTGGCGTTCCCTCCCCCCACTCCAGGGCCATCATGGGAATGCTAGAGGAAGTGACGGGCAGGGAGACTTGGGGGACAAAGGTGCCCCAACAGATAACAGAGCAGTGCTCCTGCTGAGAGCAGGGGCCGAGGCCTGCCGGGGGCGCAGATCTGTCTGCCACCTCCCCGCTTCCTGGCGGACCTGCTGTGCAGCATGCAAACCTTGCCCGAGCGCCCACCGAGCGCTGGACGCTGAGTCCTGGGCTGGGTCCTTGCCCTCATGCGGCACTCACCGGGTCCTCAGATGCGCCTGCGCCGGCGGTCATCCATTCGGGCTCCTGCACGTGCTGGTGCCCGGGAGCCCCGGCCTGCCCCTGCGCTCGCTCTTTAGCCGGCGGGGTCGCGGCTTCGCCACCTACCTCAGCCTCTCAAAGTGCTGGGATTACAGGCTTGAGCCACCGCGCCCGGCAGAGGCTTTATTTTATAGCTTGACACACAGCAGGCCCTGACACAGCCGCGGCTACCGTTTCACCCCCGTAAGAACAAACAGACCCTTGGCCAGGCGCGGTGGCTCAAGCCTGTAATCCCAGCACTTTGGGAGGC